ATCATCACATGTTTGTGTTGGAACAGGAAGAGTATAAGAGAGAGGGTATTAATTGGGATTTCATTGATTTCGGAATGGATTTGCTCGCGTGTATTGAACTCATTGAAAAGGTATTTACAACATACCACCGCACCCGCCCTCACCCGCCCTCCCCCACTCTTCACATACACTTTTTACCCAACCATACCAACCAACCAATGGATATATTTATTAAATTTAGATTCCTGTTAGTAAATTAAACGTTATTTAGCGTTCATATTCGACCCCTATATTCACATTTGTACCAGCTATAATTATTTTTATCGTTATTATTTTTCTCATGAAATAAATGTCAATAATTTAATGAATACTTGTGTCGCTCACAGCCGATGGGTATTCTGTCGATCTTAGAGGAAGAGTCTATGTTCCCGAAGGCCAGCGACAAGACGTTTGAGGAGAAGTTGAAAACCAATCATTTGGGCAAATCTCCCAACTTTGTGAAGCCGAAGCCGCCGAAGCCGGGCTGCCAGGAGGCGCACTTCGCGATCGTGCACTACGCGGGTACTGTGCCCTACAACGTGACAGGGTGGCTCGAGAAGAACAAGGATCCCCTCAACGACTGTGTTGTGGATCAGTTCAAACACGGCTCGAATACACTGATTCAGGCCATCTTCGAAGACCATCCCGGCCTCGGAGGCGGTGATGACGGAGGAAAGGGTGGCAAAGGAGGCGGACGTAAGAAGGGTTCCGGTTTCCAGACTGTGTCCGGATTGTATCGGGTATGCAATCTCACCACAACTCTATACATATATTATACACAAATTATACAATCATTACAATTATATTAATCATTCTTTCCCTTAAGTGATACCAAATATATTGTGAATGTTTTGTTTTTGTTTGATTTTTGAGATAACATTTGATTTAGCGTTTGTTTTTCACAACTAAACCATAGGAACAATTGAATAAACTGATGACAACTCTTCGCCAAACCCAACCTCACTTTGTTCGCTGTATTATTCCCAATGAAACCAAATCTCCAGGTGACCGACCCTTCCCTATATCTGATCGCTTTCTATTCATGTGTTTTCCTGTTTTGTTGTCTTATTTTTATTACTTTGTTTCAAATGAATATTTTTCACATCAATTGGTTTGTTGTGTTATGAATGAATTGGTAGTGTTTTTATCATAGAAGCTATTGCTTTAGGTTTTGATAAACAATAGTTTTATTCCATAAAACCTATTATCATATTATAATACCCTTTGATTTTATCGTAGAAACTAATTCTTAGTAAAATAACCCCAAAATATACTCATATAAAAGTTGTGAATCAAAATCCCATTTGAATTTCAATACCACTGCCTGTTTTGAATTCCAAAAATGACAATTTGCTGCATTACGTCCGGAATCTTGAATATAAATTTCACTATTTTATCCCAAACCTGAGTTAAACCCCGTGTTTGGTCCCAACTCTAGAGTCTGAATCCCGAGTTTGATCCCAACTCTAGAGTTTGAATCCCGAGTTTGATCCCAACTCCTCAGTTAAAACCCGAATTTGAACCCAACTCTAGAGTTTGAAACCCGAATTTTGTGTGTTTACAGAATTTTAGAAATCCAAACAAACTTTTATATTAACTCTTTATACACACATATAAACAAACGATACATATTGTTGTGCCGGTAAAGTGTTCCGGATATGTGTTGAGCTAATACTATCCCATATTTGTACCAAATACCTGTCCCGTACGTAAACTGAACAGGAACAACTAAACAAACTCATGACAACCTTAAAATCAACGCACCCTCACTTTGTGCGCTGCATCATTCCCAACGAGACTAAATCCCCAGGTAATGGTCCCCTCAAAACACATGTTATGTTATTTTGTCATTTTTGTCACAATCTGTAAGTCCTCAAAAAGTTTCTCAATTACCTGAGCGTACCTTTCAATTGCAAAAATCAATTTTGTACCAATTTTTTTCATTTTTTATCAATTATCTGTTGAACCATATTATCTGCAAATATGTTTATCTGTTTCTATATACAAGTGTCTGTATATAAGCCATTATGTTCACTGTTTGGTATCTTTTATATCCATATATTTATACCGAATGACTGTTTTGTATAGAATTTGATTCTGTAAACCCCAAAAAGTATATATGACTTGAACCAGAATCCGATTATGTAAACCAATGTTAAACCAAATGTCCGATCATATGTTGCCAAATATTATTTACAATTACAAAGACACTCAAAACCATATTATAATTTATAAATAGAAAATTTATTTTAAGTTATATTGAATTTTATCTCGATCGATCGGAACCAAATGCCCCCATGTATATTAATAGGAACAACTAGGTAAATTAATGACGTCCCTGGGTAGTACTCACCCGCACTTTGTGCGCTGTATCATACCTAATGAGATGAAACAACCAGGTATTCATTTAAATTCAGTTAAAATAAAGTCTTAAACCCATTTCTCTGTCAAACCTAATTCAAGAATCGTCTATATTTTTGGTTCATTCATAACGTTATAATAGATTTGATATATTCTTTGCTATTCTTTTGAAATATTTGTCCCACTTTTTGAACGACTATTGTTTTGTAAACTTTGTAAACTATACTTTATACTGTACATAACTTATGCATTTTTATAGGCATATCGTCAATCATTATTTTCTTTTCTTAATGCTTAATTATGTATCTCAGGTGTGATTGACTCCCATCTGGTTATGCATCAGTTGACATGTAATGGTGTACTCGAAGGCATCCGTATCTGTCGTAAGGGATTCCCCAACAGAATGTTATACCCGGACTTCAAACAACGGTATGACTATTTGATTCCCAAAATTATCAACACTTACTTAAACTAAACAAAGTGTACACAAGAAAGAACTCAATTCTAATGAACCCAAACACAAATACCTCTCAAAAAACTTACAATTTAATTAATTTCTTTGGACAAATTCTCACTCCTAATCAAATTAAGTGTGAATACTATCCTATAAGTTGAGCCCCAATCTCAAGCCATGTGTATGGCATATGATATCGTACTTTCAGATATACTATATTAGCGGCGGCATCAGTTCCACCAGGTTTTGTCGACGCCAGACAGGTTGCCGGCAAAGTATGCGAAGCCATTGAGTTAGATGAAAATGACTACAGATTGGGATTAACTAAGGCAAGCCTATATGTCATTCCCAACACCAATATACAATATATTTGTACTCTCTATCTGTGTTTCCCTTATATCCTTCAATCAATTATATTATGTGCAAAACGACCCCTAAATTACTACAAAATTACTAAATTCTCAAATTTTATTGTCTCAATAATAAGTCTCAATTGTTTATCTTAATCATAAATGTTTCTAATTCTGGTCTTATTATCACAAACAAAATGTTATTAAAAGGTAAACTATTTATTGTAATATATACCCGAAATCTCATAATCAGCTGCAAATTGATACCCAAAAATACCACCAAATATACTACTCTTTATATGTTTTTAATTAAACTAAATCCCAAAGCAATCAAAACTAATTTCCATTGATTTATATATTTATTTGTCCAAAATATTGTCCAAAATATCCAGAATATTATCAATTGTTCCCATAAAACTATTCTAACGATTGTTATTGAATGAACAATGTGTCCAAATGGTGAAAATGCCAAACAAAATACCATGATAACTAAATGACAGTGATTATCCCCAAAACATACCTAAACTAAACCCAACAATTTTATGTCTCCCATCGCTATGTGTGTCGGATAATATGTGATCCGATAGATACACAATACTAGCGGCGGCGGCCGTTCCCAAGGGTTTCGTTGACGCCAAAGCGGTGGCCGAAAAGGTTATCGAATTCATTCAATTGGATGAAAATGATTTTCGATTCGGTTCTACAAAGGCTAGTACTATATGTCCTCAACCATCGGTTTATTTGTCATTTAGTAATAACTTAGTTTAGACTAGAATTTGTTTTTGAGCCTAATTTTACGTACAAACACATTGTTGCCTGAGTTTCTATGTTTAGAAATTAATTTTTAGATTTAATTTTAGAGTTTATTTAAATCTTTTGCGGCGTTTTGTGTAACAAACCAACTGTTTAGATGGTTTTGATTGCTAAAAGTCAAACCATAAAACGTTAGAAATGTTGTCAACGAGTTTTTTGTGTTGCATTAAAATCATAACTGAATCACAAAACTTTCCAACCATTTCCACCCAAAAATACACACGGCTTTAAAACCCATAGAATTTACTGATTTTAATCAATCAGTTAAAGAGACTGTATAACTAAAATCCCGAACTAATTCAGTAGTCGTCATAAAGTATCCAAATATTAGACATGAAAATAATTTCATGTGAACTAACATTGATTTGCGCACTAATGTCTTCAGATACACAATCCTGGCCCCGACTATCCTTCCCAAAGGATTTGTTGACGCAAAAGTAGCCACAGAAAAGTTAGTCAAAGCCACTAACATAGACGAGGGGGAGTACCGACTTGGAAATACCAAGGTATCTCAATTTGTCAAATTGTCAGATTAACTCGTCGTAAAAACGCATCGCTTTTATGCTTTTTTCATTTCATTATTCTGTGATTCGCTTCCTATAAATTTTGAAGCGCTTTCTTCGACTGAATTTCATTTTTTATGCTAAATCTGAGGAATTTTCTTCTTTTTTTTAATTAGATTTACATTTTCTACTATTAGTTAACCAATAGATTAAATATTTAATTATTCCTCAGATTTTATCTCAATGTATGAATTAATACAATGACATAAATGTAAATGAAAATCAGGTCTTGCGATATGACTATATTTTTAGGTACACTTACTTTAAGTGTGCATTTAATTTACTTACATTACAAATAATTTCATTTAAATGTTAAATGTTTGCTTAAATTCTTGTAATCCTTTTAATAAAACGCTTTATTTATTCTTATTTTAGCAAAATTAGCAAAAACTGATTTATTAACACTTAATGTAAGCAACAAATTGTATAACAAATAACTGCAATTCATGTCGTTTTGCTTTCAATGAATGCGATTGTAAGTCAATATTGAGATAATCTTTTGATTATGCAATGAAAAGGTAGGTTTTAATATCAATGTTATTCTATGTGTTCCCAAAAACCCACTTTGTGTTACCACCTCTTATCGTATCGTTTTGTGCATCTGTTAATTCACCGCATGTTTATTACCCGTCATTTGCAATGAAAACATTAATTTAAAACTGAGTGCCGATCGCGACAAACAGATCTTCTTCCGCGCGGGAGTGTTGGGACGTCTGGAGGAGATGAGAGACGAGCGGTTGGGAAAGATCCTGACATGGCTTCAGGGATGGATCCGCTGGTATCAGGTGAAGAAGAGCTTCAAGAAGCTTCAGGAACAGCGAATCGCTCTTCTCGTCATTCAACGAAATTTGCGCAAATTCTTGACTTTGAGGAACTGGTTGTGGTGGAAGTTGTACTCCAAAGTGAAGCCACTGTTGAATGTGGCGCGAGTTGAGGACGAACTCAAAGCACTGGAAGATAAGCTGA